TTACCTGATCCCTCTGAGTTTCCACTCTGCTGAGATGCTGAGTCTGCACCACGGGCTGGATTACTATCACATGTGCATGGATGGGTGTGGTGTGTGCATGTGTGCGGCGCACGTGCTGGGTTTGCATGTGTGTGGGGTGTGTGTGTATGTGGGGTGTGTTAACATTCTCAACACATACTATACTGCTGGATGCACAGTAAGTGCCCAGTAAATATTTGCTAGATAAATGAAGTGTCTGTGTGGCCTGGCAAATGAAAAGTCGAATCCCAGTGATGACCGGTTCACATAGGAAATCCAGTGGATTTCAGAGAAATGGGCTGATGAACGGCAAAGTCTCCAGCTCTGCAGACCTCAAGAGAGGCTAGGGGTGATGGCTGAGTCCAAACAGCACTTGCCCAGGAAGAAACCACAGGGAAAGCCAGAGCCCCAGGAGTGCAGGGCTCCCCGCCCTGCATGTATGCTGGATGAGGAGGCTGGGCTTCAGGGCATCTGCACCCCACAAACTTCCTGCAGCTCATGAGGCTCCCATGGCCTCGATGCCACGTGGAGAGAGACCCGAGAAAGAACTCTACTACTGTCCATGACAAGGCCAGATGTCAGATCCTCCCAAGGACACAGGACTACTTGGTGGTCTCATGGCTATAACTGGGCTTCATGACTACAAAAACAGTACAAGCCCATTGTGGTGGGCATCAAGGACAGCGCATGCTTGTGCCAACCCACCTGAAACCCATCTGCCTGCAGGAGGGGTCAGGCTTGATAGAAAATGAAGGCTCAGGACACCATGTATTCCTGGCACTCAGGTTTGTGGTATGGAGACAGAGGGCAGAGAACTCCAGGACAAAGGGCCGGAGTCCTCCTGGGCTGTGACCCAAGAAAGGTTTGCCAAGAACCCTTCCTTTCATTTCCAGACCAAAACCCAGACCCTTCACTGAAGCCAGGCTGCCTCTGTCCAGTGTTTCCAGCAAACCAGACAAGATAATAAAACTTGGGGATCATCACAGAGGGGCTCCTGGGCCCTGTACCTGTTATTCATAAAATCTAATCATAATTTTTTTTTCCTAAGGCATTGAGAGACTTATAGTTAATTTTGCTAAAACTACCAACTCTTCACCTATGCCTCCAGATGCGCAACGTGTAAATAAGCAGGACAAACTTGGAATTTCTGCATGTAGGGAGTAAGCTCAATGTCTCTAAATTTACCTAACATATCTCTTCCTCCTATAAGATGAACAATAACAGGCTTTTCAGGCTTGTTCAACTATCAGATTTTACTCCCTAAAAAATGTCTCTAGTCATTGCCCTAAGCCTACAGTCACCCTGGATTCCAGCAGAGCTTCTGCAAGGTTAAGAGCTCCAAACAGAACAAAACAGCTCCAGGGAACTGAACTCCCCTCAGGCCATCCAGTCTCTTCGGAGATGCAAGCCAGAACTGAGATTGTGAACAACCTGAGCCCTGCTTACCTCAGCACCATGAAAAGCCGGCCCTTTGTTAGGGCAGTCCACTCCTCACCAGAGCTAGGACCCTTCAGCTCCTCAGGCTGATCTCCCTTCCCTTTCTCTTACTTTTCAATGAAAGCTGTTGCTGATGCCTCAATTTTACTTTCCATTATCATTGGAACAAGGACCCGGCATCCTCCCTGGTGACAGTTTGAGAGGCAGACATGCGCATCTGTCTTTTCCCCTTTCTTCCTTGGCGCTCATCCTTTTCACCCTAAGTTCTGCTACCTTCCCGGCCAGAACTGTGCTTTTAACTTCTAACCACATCCCCGACACCACCTGGCTCACAGAGCACAAAGCCTGCGGGGCTGGGTCAGTCAGCTGCAGTTGACAGGTGTCCATTTTGATGCTGGTGTCCACTTTATTTAGGAAGCACTGTGGTCACAGCACGGGGTGCAGAGCAAGTGACCACGTTGTGATACTGGGATGAGCCTCATCAAGGTACTTGGCAGATCTCCATAGGGCAGTCTGAGAGCACCAGTGTCAGTGGGACTTTAGGCAGGGTAGAGAGAGAGACAGCACTGCAGGGTTACCCTGAACTCAGACCAGCTCTGGATTGATTGATTGATTTTTCCCAGCTCTGGTTTTAAATCACTCACTCAGATCAGGAAAATTCTTTTCTCCTAAAGTCACTTTAGACCAGATTCTCTGATACATGCAACTGAAACAGGGTAAGACAGAGATTGTATCCAGAAAGACTTTCTACTTAGAACTCTCTCAGCTGAGTCATGTTAGACCAGTCATACAAAAAAATTCCACAGTTAGAGTGGCTGGGCAAAGAGCCTGGCCAGGAGAAGGTCATGGCCATGCTGTGCACGTGGGTTGCAAAGCTCCCAGCTCACACACACCTGTGGACCAGAGCTTCCCCAGCTGGCTGTGCCGCCCTGGATGGGGCCTGCTGAGACGCCTCATCAGGATGAACTCCAGAAGTAGCAGGGATGCTATCAAAGTTCCCATAAAACCATATTTCCTGCTCACAGCTCTATACAGTGAGTTTTTCAGGACATAAATAGAGATAAGAAATTGAGAGCTAAGCCTCATGTCCTGTCTTTGGCTTCAAATAGCTGCTCACCCACTTTTCCACTACTGTGCCAAAACAGATGTGAGAAGGTCCCCCAGGGGCACAGTCACATCTTTACCCTGCTAAAGATGGTGCCGCCCTTAGAGCGTCACATCATGCATGGGGTCTTAACTCTCCTGCATTCTGAGCAAATTACTGAAAGCAAACTGTCAATAAGTTTTTGAGTCTCTTCCTAGAAAAAAAATTGGCTACCAAACCTCAAGCTAAGAGACTATCACGTGTATTCTTTAAAAAACAATTTAAAAATTTGAAATTTCTTATATGTCTACTAATTTTTTTTTTAAGTTAAGAACAGTTTTTAAAATACTGGCAATAAATCTTTTACTGAGGAAAAACACAAGAGTTTATGTGAGCATAAGGTTTGGAAATAATACTCCACAGTGAACATAGGTCAGTAGCTCAGGGTTAGGGGTCACGGGTCAAACAACAATATTTGAGTCCTACATGGAACAAATTGTCAAGTGGTAAGAACTCTGAGCTGCAGGATGTGGGCAGTCTCCACATCCACCAAGGTCAGGAGCAATGCCCAGCAGTCAAGAGGTCCCCTCCCACCTCCACCCAGAGTTAAGGATACTAAAACTTTCTTTCCATCAATACGCATACGTTATATGGTTTTCTTCAATAGGTGCTAAGTTCTGAAAGGGGTATCTATAGGAAAAGTAAGCTTTGAAATGTTTTTCCAAAATTCTGTTAATCACATATTGATCAAACTGTGACACTTTACAGTTTATAAGAAATGGAGATTAATTTGCTAAAATGATAAAATCCCATCCAATATTAAAGAACACTAAAGATACACTGGATTTAGAATAAGTTGACTAAATCATTACCAAAGCAAAAGAAGCTTTATTCAGTCTCTCAAGAGGCTCGGAAAGTTGCCTTTCTCAACAAGCACAGCTTTGAAAACTGCTGCCTGGCAGCTATGGGCTCTGTTGCTCAGAGGGTGTTGGTTCACTTCCTTTGCTTTAAGAAGTCAGGGCCTGTGGTTCTAGAAATCAGGGCCGGTGTTCCTGGCCAGATCATGAATCTGCCTCACTCAACCTTTCACCCACACGGGCCCTGTGAACACTAACATTCCTGTGGTCTGTGTCTCTTTCTTATTTCACCGCAGGCTGACACCTGCCCCCCTATTCTCCCCAGTTCAGGTGAGATCTTGCCGCAGGGCAGGACCACACATGCCATCTGGTCCATCAGCCTAACATACAAATATTACTGGAGAAAATACAAATCTTCAATAAGGTTTGGTCTTGAATGGCAGAGGGTTATGTCTCACAATGATACTACTGGAAAATAAGCCAACGACCACCATTTAGCAACAACAGGGCACAAAGGTTACCTTTAAAATCTGCGATACCAAATCCTTATTTCCAAATAGTGAGATAGCTCTTAAGAATAAAGACTTCCTAAACAGAATTAAAGTACCAAATTATTTTGGACAAGCATAGAGTGGTTGGTATGGCTTCATTTTAGAGAAATTTTGTTTAAATTAAGCATCAGTGAACTAATAACCAATTTTCTTTAAAACACGATAGAAACAGGATGTAGGTTGTCACTTGTGGTTATTTTAACCACCAACATAGCTGTTTGCAAACGATCCGACACTGCTTGGGCATTTCAATAACAGGCCAACCCAGCAGCTAAACAGCACCTTCACCAGAGACCTGTTATTCTCTGAGCTCTGTGTGCAGATTTCCTGAGTAACACATAATTAATCCAAACATTAACTCTCCTCAGTGAAACACCGAGGTGAGCAAGAAAGAATGCAGGACAGGTAGGCTGTGTTAGCAAAGGAAGGCCTACCTGCTCTCCCAACAGGCTATTCTTGGCCACTGACCCTTTACTGACAGGAAGCCGCCAGAGCAGGGGCGGTGGCCACACTCAAATGTTTGTTGAAAGAAAGTAAAACTGACATGTTTTCAGCCAGCACGGAAACCCCATTTCCTCACTGTTAATAATCAATGCAGACTACTTTCAAACTTTAAGCTAGAATGATCACCTAATGATTGCGACACACAGACTCCTAAGGGGCCAGGCGGGTGGGTGGGTGTGGAGGTGTTGGCACCCTCCCGGGCTTGGGTCAAATCATAAGCCTTCTGCGCTTTACAGCAAAGGTACCATCCCTTGCCCAAGCTGTCAAGCGCACAGGACGCCGCGAACCACAAAGGTGCGGCCCGAGAACATAGTTCAATCGATGTTTTTAGAAAACATAAAAGGTATTTCAGCCATGGAAATTCGAAACGCGGGAATTTTCCTAGGAATCAAGCCGCTGTGATCCTCAAACCGAGTTTCAGGTTCTGACAATCCGCGAAACGATACGGCGTGGACTTGCAGAGCGCCGATGCGGCCTCTGGTGCGGCGCGCCTCTCCCGAGCCCGGCTCGGCCAGACCCCCGCCCGACCTCCGGGATTCCTGTACTCACTCGCGCCCAGCTGCTCCGCCGGAGCCGCACACCTGCCAGGAAGAGGAAGGGCGGCCTCGGACCCGCCTCCCGGGGCGGGGCGCTGGCTAGCTGCACACCTGACCAGGTGAGCATCAGGTGTCTGTCCAGGTCCTGTCCTGGGGCAACACCGGCCTCGCGCATCTTCGCAGAACACGGCCGCCTCGTCCCCAAAGTGCCCCACATCCGATTTCTAGCTCAGGAAAGCCCACCCGCCGCCTGGGACCCAGCGGCGCAGGCCCTGCCCGGCAGAAGCCAGAGACCGAGAGCCCGGGCTGCAACAGGGTAGCGCAGGTGGTCTCCAGCGCAGCCCGGCGCCCCGGACTCGGGGCCCCGCCCACGGCCCCGCCCCTCCAGGCCCCAGGGACCCGGAGACCACGCCCACCCAGAACTGATAACGCCCTTCCGACCCGCCCTCCTTGCCCCCACCCTCAGGTGACCCCGCCCCACCCCACGGCCCCGCCCTACTTTGAGGAGACTCGGAACCCGGTCCAAGCCTACCCTGCCGGGCCTAAAGTGAATCACCGCCCCGCCCCTGCCGGCCTCGCCCCGCTCTTCAGATGACTGACAGCTCCGGCTCCTCCCGGTCTTCAGCTGACGGGCGCCCTGCCTCCCGCGGAGCGCGAGGCCGCCGACTGCGCAGGCGCAGAGGCCGGAGGCTCGCCAGGCGCATGCGCTGCGTCGGGACGCGACAGACGCGGTCACTGGGCGCCAGCGACTGCGGCGCGTGAACATGGCTGAATCCGGACCGAAGTCGGTGCTGTTCGTGTGTCTGGGTAAGGAGGTTCTGAGTTAACCTCCTCGAAACGTGGACCACGTTCGCTGTGGGCCGGGCTGCTTGTCAGGGTCAGGGAGATGGAGAAGACTGGGGCAGGAGGCTTTGGATGGACCTGGCACCCGGGTCCCGCACCTGTCTTCCCAGGAGCTTGTGTCCCGGTCACGTAACATCTCGCTTTCAGGCCTGCGTCCCCGCCATCCGCCCTTAGAGCCGTGCCCCTCTCCCCTGCCGCCTACCCGCCTTCCAAGCCGGGTCCCTTCGCTGTACTTGCTGGAGTCTCTGCTTGCCCTCCACGTGGCCCACTTGAGCCCTCGCTGCGGGGTCGGTGTTACCTGCTCAGGCGTCCGCTGCCGAGTCAGTCACCGCACTGCTGTGCTCGCTGCTGTCCTTGGCTTGCACTGTGTCTCAGCTGTAGGAGGTGGAGCGCGCCCTTCTAGGTTCTTGGGTCTCTCCGTAACGGTGGTTTACAGCCCATGTGTCAATTTCTGTTTCTTCACTTGAAAAAAAAAATAGTGATCATATATCCTTGCTCAGAATCATTTTTGTTCCTAGAAATCAACACGTAGGGCCCCACACACACTTGAAGTAGAATCTACTATTCCTGTAGTTTTTAGGGTTCATGCTCAGTGTTTCTCCCTTTACAGGAGAAAACAAAATTGTCACGGATCCAATTATTTAGTCTTTTCTTGAGTTTACATTTCCTAGAGAGTGAAAGCTCTTTTTCTTGGGATGGAGCTCTCCCTACTCCCTTCCTTACCTTTTCTCACCAATGTGTGGGTGCTGCCTTCTTGAGCCCGCATGAGAGATGCTTACTGAGTGCACCTCAGCTGTGTGGCCAGCTTTTAGTGGCTATCCGTAATGTGGGGTACTTTATAATGTACCCCCCTGGCTTTTCCAGACCTAGTTGCTTCCTTTGACCTTTGCAAAAGACATTTTATTCCATAGATTGACAGGCTGCTAAGATTCCAGTGAGTAGTAATTGGCAATAACAGTGATCTATCTATCTATCTTTCTTTCTTTCTTTCATCTTCAGGACAATAGTGTATTGGTTACAAGCTATTTCTAGAAGTGAATCTCTATGAGGAGGAAAAAGTATAAGGTTCATCTTCTTTTGTATTGAAGTGTATATCATGATTTTTAAGGTTTTGGTTGAAGCTAAATGGTGCATTTAGCACATTAAACATTCAAGTTGAATACCTAATATCCTAGTCGTATGTTTATTTTCACTTAATATTGTTGATTATGCTAACAGGAATCACACTGGTTGTTTTGGGGGAAGTGTATGCTTGCATATGTTTGTCTTCAATACAGTTCAAGTTTTTGAGCACCTGCTATGGGGCAGGCACTGGGAATGCATAGAGCAGTGAACACCAGGGCCAAAGCCCTGGCCTTTCTGGAGCACATGCCCTCGAAGTCATCAGTCAGGTAGTGGTCAGTGTGTGAGTTCAGCCGGTGTGAAGTGTTGACAGTGAAGACAGGTGGCAGTTGGTGTGTGGTGAGGAAGACTTTATCCAGTGGTGGCCTGTGAGCACAGATGTGGAAGGAGGCAACAGGGAAGCCATTCTCAGCCCACAGGACAGCAGGTACAGTTTGGAGGAGAGTGTCAGCTGTGTTCCAGGGAACCCTTGTGGGGTAGCCAGGCATTTTCTGTTACTGAGGACTCTGCATATTACTTGAGTGACTCTTTCTTCAGCTCCCATGGAAACCTAACCAGTGGCATTCTGGATGTGTTGGGAGAAAGTAGTTTCTTGCACTCAGTGGGTGCTGCATGCTGGGATCTATGAACTGTAAAGAACCAGAGTAAACATTTTATCCAGGCGTGGTGCTGTACAACTCTGGCTCTAGCTCTCCGGAAGCTGAGATAGGAGGATCACTGTGAGTTTGAGACCAGCCTGGGCTACATAGTGAGTTCAAGGCCAGTATGAACTACACAGTGAGACTGTCTCCAGAGCAAACAAGCAAACCAGATAGCACATAAATGATGGAGTTTGGCTGTGTTCCTGGAGAATTTTGACCATAGACACTGACATTTTTTATTGGACCTCCCTGTAATCTTGCAGTATCACAATTTCCTACTTTTGCTTAGTTTTCAGCTATTTAATATTATTCTGTGCTCTGAGAATTGTGTGTAAAAATAACAGATCAAAAACCTTCATTTTGGGGCCTGTATTTGGGGTGCCAATCTTGGGAGGCCATGTGAGGATAGGCTTGCTTAGAGATAAGGCCTTGTAGGTTTACAGCAGAGTGAGGAATGGATGTCCTTGGTTCCAGCTGTAGTGTTCTGATTAGAGTGAAGGAGTTGCTGCTTTGAGGGAGAGCTGAGAGGAGGGTGGATGCTTTTGCCATGGCAGGCCACCCAGGGGACAGTTGGAGCTATATGTTTTGAAATGTAGATGTTTTATTCCTTGGGAGCATTGATTTGGACTTGGAGACTGATGTGAAGAGAAGCACCAGAGGTTTGTCAGTGGCTGGGCCAGTGGCTGGGACACTGAACAAGAGGAAGATTATTATAAAGAGACAGTTCCTGAAGTCAGATAGTTCCTGAAGTAAGCTGCTGTGACCTATAAATTGGCTAACCTGGCTCAGAAGGAGCTGTGGTGACATTTGTATTCAGTTTAGATTGATTGATTGGTAGCGTATCTTATACTGGGACAGTGGGTGTCCAATCACTGAACTTGGGTAGGTTGGCTGTCCTCTCCAGGTCCACCCTGCTCCACAGTGTTAGCCTTTGTGTTTCCAGGGAAGACACAGCCACCGCTGATCAGGTGCGTGAGGTGAAAAAAAGCAGATTTTTCACACTGGGAGTCAGCTCTGCCTTTCCACCACAGCTCACACTCTATGTGCCCTCTCCCTTCTCTTTAAGGTAACATTTGCCGGTCGCCCATTGCAGAAGCAGTATTCAGAAAACTTGTAACTGATCAAAACATTTCAGATAATGTAAGTACCATTCCCTACATTAAAAAGGCCACCTTACACAACTTTGGTCAGGCAGCGCCGGAACAAAAACCTCTTTTTTTTCTCCTGCAGTGGAGGATAGACAGTGCAGCCACATCTACATATGAAGTGGGAAACCCCCCTGACTATCGAGGGCAGAGTTGCATGAAGAAGCATGACATCCCCATGAATCACATTGCCCGGCAGGTACCGTACTTGAATTTGACCTGTGTTTTGTGTTACAGTGGGCCATTGACAGCGGCGCTGTTTCCGACTGGAACGTGGGCCGGGCTCCAGACCCAAGAGCTGTGAGCTGCCTAAGAAATCATGGCATTAGTACAGACCATAAGGCAAGACAGGTAGAAGAGATCTTAATTTTTACTACTTAAGAGTCCCGTACCATAAGAGGGTGTGAGATACTGACTCAGACTTCTGTGTTTATTGGGGGAACTAACTGCCTACATACACAGTTCTGAAAGACTGGCTGGAAGTACATAATTCACAGTGAAAGCCCTGGCCAGGAGCCAGACCTAGCCTTGGTGTCCATTCTGTCACAAGTTCTTAGACAGATATGAGGCATGATGACTCTTCTGCTTATATTAAAATTCTTGCTAGAAGGAACTTGCATAGCATATTCAAAGAAACCTTGAAAGCTGTAAAAAGCTCTAGAAATACAGGGTAATACTGGTGAGACTGTGGACAGTTAGTTATGCTGTACTTACCCTTGAAGTCTACTGGAGTAGTGACAAACCCTTAGACTTCAAATGAAGATAGCTTCGTGTTGGTGTCATAAATCGGAAGATGCAGTTGGGTTTCTGATGGGTCTTCGTTTAAATGAAGCACTTAAGGACTTGACCTGTTCTTACGTGGAATTCTTATTGGATAGAAGATTAAACATTTTTTAATATTTACTTATTCAGATCTCTTCAGGCTCTTGAATACAGTGTTAATTTTTTCTTGCCGTTGCTTAAGGGATATAAATTTGTTTTTCCTAACCTTTAAAAATTGGAATTTTAAGATTGAATTTTCATACATTTAAGTATGTAATAAAAATGTGTAGATGGAGTATTTTAAGTACATGTGACTTACAAAAACAAAACTAGAAACTATTTCAAGACCAATTTTAATTACCAGCTTTGCAAGTAGTGTTTTCAGAGTCTAGTTCTTACTTGTTTGTTTTTGTTGCTTTTATAAAAATCTAAATGTTTTATCTTTTTAAATTTCAAAGTACTAGTACAGTATTTTACAGATCCGTATCACATATCTTTGGGTTTACGGGTTCTTCACTAATTGTCACAATTTGTGTGGTAACGCTGCTAGTATATTCCTTAAAATCTTAATTTTTTTAGTAGTTTCAGCCTGAGTTTAAAAAATGGCATTGTCTTCTGGTTCTTACTTGCATCTCCTGCAGTCAGTCCCTTGAGCTGTGAGTGTGAGGTCTGGTTAGTTGGCTGAAAAACTTTTATTATTCATGCTTTCCCTTTTGTGGTAAGCTTTTCATTGCAGCGCTAAAGATCTTTGCCAGTCTGGAAGGGGCCACTCTGAATTTGTTCTGTTTACCGCTGTGGAGGAGCGGGGTCTCAGTGTTTGTTCCCTTTGTGCTGTTAGCTGTGTTCGCTGAGATTCTCTGTAGTGCTGCTTTTGCAGCAGTTCACTGATGTTGCCGCCTGCAGCGTCATCTCGTGGTTCCTGCTCGTTTGCTCTTGCTGGATATGTGAATTCCAGTCAAGGGCAGACAGTGCTGCCGTGGGTGGCAGTGCACACTCCATGTGCTTCTGATGGCCTGTGCCATGAACTGTGCCCTGTCAGGGTTGCGCAGCCTCCTGAAATGCACTGGGAATCTTCCCTTTTTCTTCCCCCCTCCCTTTCTTTCCCTCTATAGATCGATACTATTTCTGCTTCAGTTATTTGAAAGACTTTATCTGGTCAGTTGTCTTATTGTTCCTTCTAAACTGCTCCAATTCTCTGGCTACCTGAGCTTCAGTGTGTTCAGTGTCAGCTGCTTGGTGAGAGGCTGTGTGGATTCCCTGAATTGTGGCCTGATGATTTTCATCAGGTTTGGAAAGTTCTGGGCTGTTTTCATACTGTACTTCTCTTTCTCTTTTCTTCTGAAAGCAACTTATATATATATTGAACCGAAAAATTTCTTACTCGCTTTTTCATTTCCCAAGTTCTTTACTTCGTTCCTGGTCTGCGATTTACTGTTGCCCTATTTTCTGATACACTAATCATTCTGCTATTTTCAAGGTCTATGAAGATGTTCTCTGATGTCTTAGCATGTTACTTTGTTGGCTAACTGCTTAAAGTTTTGCTTGATTTTCTTTTTTTTTTTTTTTTTTTTTTTTTTTTTGTCTGTATAATTTTCTGGCAAAATTCATTTTCTTCAGTCTGTTTCCTGAACATGCTGGCACCGTTACTTCATCAAAAGTCTTGTGGTACATGTGATCATTTGTGAGTCTGCCTTTTTCTCTTCACCTCTGTTCATTGATTGCTGTGCTCCTGGGCTTGAGATGAGACACTCCTCTTGGTGTGTGAACAACTGGAGCCTCAGATGATCACATTGCTTCTGAACCAATTCACTGTTTGAGGAGCCAGGTCAGGTTGTTGGCTGTGTGGTTGGGTCAGCTGGCTCGAGGCTGGGTGGCAGTGTCTGGGAGCCTTGCTGTGCTCGTGTGCTCTGCGCTGTGTGCTGAGAATCTGGGGTGTGAAATACACAGGATACCTCCCAAGCTTCTTGACCTGGGTGGTAGGGTCCTGGCTGAGGAGTAAGGAGAAAGCGTGTGGGGTATCCTTCCTCTTAGGACAGGTGCCTCTCCTGGGCCAGCTCTCCTTGTCCTCCAAGTCTGCTGCAAGTCAGTTGGTGCCATGCTTTTCCTTGTCATCCTCTGTCCAAGTCTCTATGGTATTTGGGTTCTGATCCTTCTTGGTGCAGGGTTCTGTGCTTTGGTGGTTCTGGCAGTGCCTACCTGGCAGGAGAGCCTCCTGAAGAACAAAAAAGATGAGAATGTCTCCTGCCTTCCTCACCATCCCTTCTTTGAGAACCCTGTCCCACTGTGTAAACCACAGTTGTCAGAATGTGGTCCTGGGACCCCTGGCTCCACGAGGTTCAGGTTATGTGGAAGCAGAAGGGCCAACTGACCAGAGAGTCAGTGATCGGGAGACTGAGTAAGACAGCGTGTGGGAAGGCTGTTGGCAGGCTCTGGGTTCGTGCCACAGCAGTGGACAGTTTTGGTGTGGTGTTAGTGAAGAGTGTCCGTGGGGGTGTGCAGAGCTGTGAGACGCTCTGATCTGCCTCACACGCTAGACTCGGATGACACACTGCAGCAGAAGGTAGCACATGCGCAGAGGGGAGTCTATCTGAGACAGTTGTATTCCCTTGGTTTGCAAAGTATAGTTTTTCATTAAAAAATAAAAAAATGTAAAAGTCTTGATAATGGATAATGAATTTACATTATTTTTATTTTTATTTTATTTTATTTTTTCTCTTATTCTCCTCTGTTTAATTGTTTGCCCTATTTGATGGGTTCTTTCCATTCTCATTCATGGGGCTGTGATCAATTTGCTCCCTCTCTAGAACTTCATATAGTAGTCTGTGTAGGCTTGGCTTTGTCATCATGAAATTCTTTAATTGTTCTTTGTCATGAAAATATTTCACTTCTCCATTATATTTGAAAGATAGTTTTGCAGGATATATCAGTCTGGGTTGGAATCTGTTTTCTTCCAAGACTTCAAGTACTTTGCTCCATGCTCTTCTTGACTGGATGGTTTGTGAAGAAAAATCTGCTGTTATTCTGATGGGTTTTCCTTTAATGTAATCTGTTTCTTTTCTTTAGAGGCTTTTAGTATATTGTTCCTATGCTGAATTTCTGGAATCTTGATTATTATGTGTCTGGGTGTGGTTTTCATTGGATTGATACTATTTGGAGTTCTATATCCTTCGATTACAGGACTGTCAGATTGTTGCCCCATATTTGGTAAGTTTTCTGCTATTACTTCTGCCCATATTCTTTTTATATCATTTGTATTGACTCCTTCCTTCTCATTGATGCCTATTAGTCTCACATTGTTCATCTTTGCATCGTCTTGCAGGTATTGAATTATTTTTTCCTGTATCCTAGTTGTTTTAAAGAGATCTTTTCTTACTTTTTCACTAGCTGCATTGGTGTCTTTCAGGTCAGAAAGTGTATTTTCACTTTCATGCAAATGGTTTTGCCAGCGTGTTATTGAGGTTTTAATTTCCTTTATATCACTTTGAACCTGTTTCATAGATTCTATTTCTTTCCTAAATTGCTTATTCAGGGGTTCCATCATTTTTATATTCTCCTCTATTTTTTTTATCAGTGTATTCTTTAGAGTACTTAGTACTCTGATTAGAGTTACCACTACATTTTTTAGTTCCGAAATTATTTCTGATGTGATTTCTTCTGTACCTTTCTGTAGTTGATTCTTTACTGTCAATGCTATTATTTCAGAGATACCTGGCATGTGATTTCCAGTTTCCTCAGTGCTAGTGTCTTCTGCATTTGTACTGGGTGGATTCGGGGCCTGAGACTGCATTTTGTTCCTTCTCTTTGTCATTTTGTATACCACTGTCTTCTGACCTTTGGTGTAGAGCTTAGATAGAGTTATTACCTTAGCACCAGGTCTGGATCTACGAAGTTCAGATTCCTCCAGGTGGGTGTTGCTTGTATGTGGCTGCTGTGCTCCACTTCTTTCTGCTGCAGCCCTTAGTGTTGAACCCTTTGTGTCTCTCTGGCAAGATGTTCTGCTCCTGAATCAGCTGGGTGGGTCTTGCCTCTAGCCTCTTTGCAGAGAGTTCTGCTGAAGGGTTCCCTGCTGGGCCTGCAGCCTGGGTTGAATGAGGATCTAGCGGGCCTTGGGTTGTCTCACTCACTCACCGGGCCTGCGCTCTGGGTCTGTTCAGGATCCGGAAGGCCCTGGGTTGTCTCACTCACTCGCCGGGCCTGTGCTCTGGGTCTATTCAGGATCCCGCGGCCCGGTGGTCTCACTTGCTCGCCGGGCCTGCGCTCCGGGTCTGTTCAGGATCCCGTGGCCCCGGGTCATCTCACTCACTCGCCGGGCCTGCACTCTGGGTCTGTTCAGGATCCGGAAGGTCCTGGGTCCCATTATTTTTAAATGACTTATGCTTAGATACTTTTCAGTTTTGATGATGGTGATAACTATTGAACAGGTTACTTGCAGTAGGGCTCAAATGATCCTTAGGGCTGAAAGGCCTTTTCTGTGAAGCTTGAGGTCCAGTCTTCCCAGTTCATTCAGCAGGAGGCCATGCCTTCTTGTACACAGAGTTCAGGTGGGATTGGAACTCACCAGCTTCCTCGCTGTGTTTGGCTGTGTTTCTGCCCCCAGCGCAGAGCAGAATACTTTCAGGGAGACCTTGAGGCCCACAAAGCCAAGTCACCACAGGAGCATAAGGACTTTGGTTTTTCTGTGGTTTTGTAGTAGTTTTGGGTCACGAGGTTGACTGGCCACAAGCCACTTTGTGTCCAGCTGCAAGCAGAAATCTTTACTGTGTATTGTTTGATATGTAAGTTACAGCTGTTCTCTTTTCAATTATTTTAACATCTAAAATCTTGTGTGGTTTGATGTAGTAAGTTACAAGTCACCTCTTAGGACAAAATTAAGTACAAATAGTCTAAAATAATAATGTTCAATATGAAGTTCTTAGATAGTTCTCACTCAACTAATTTGGAAAAAACACATGTAGTGTTTACATGTAATATAGTTTTTTTTTTTTTGCGGAACCAGGGATTAAACTCAGGCCCTTGCACTTGCCAGGGAAGTGCTTATTCCACTGAGCCATCTCCCCGGCCCTTAATATAGTATTTGATCTACTTTTGATTTTGAAATGTTAGTATCTTAGAATGTATGTGTATATATATATATATATATATATATATATATATGTCCTTTGTAATTATTTAAATGCAACACTAAAAAGTAATATTACACTGTAAAGATTTCTCATTTTTAACAATATGAGTAACGAGCATACCTGTTGCTCCTTTCTTCTTTGTCCAACAAGGAATCTCTGCTCTTTTGCCTAACATCTCCTGTGTAGTTTCATTTTACAGTATTTCGAGGATTTTTCAGTGAGGAAGATGATTACTAAACTTATTTCTCCTTTATTCTGCAGTGTGGGCACAATCTTTTATTGTCTCACTTACCATAGTCAAAATTTATAAAATATTTTCAATTCTATTTAAAGTAGGCTCACATTTCTAAATTACAGTGTTAGAAAATGAACTTTCAGCTTAGAATCAGGAAGAGTCCTGCGTGGTCCTTGTCATCTTTGTCAGAGAGATGTCATGTTCAATCAGAATGAAGAAGAGCCAGGGCTTCGCTTGCTGCTCTCAGGCTCCTTCTCGGGCCACTTCCTCCCCCCAAGCCTGGCGCCTTCTCTGCCTCCTCAAGTGGCTCATGCCGGCAGCAGGCCCTGGGCCAGTTGGTCCCGAGGATGCGAAGTGGAGGAGGAGAAGAAAGCGTATTTTCTACTTAACAGATACCAGCCGAGGATGGGCTATGTGTCCACATGCTACCATACTTTATGAACTTTATGATACAAAATTTCTTTGCATTGTAATTTTAGAAATAGACTGTATTTTAACTTAAAAGTAACTATATATAATATATTATTTAGTTAAATACTTAATGAGTAACAGGTATAATGGAGATTTTTTTTCCTTCCTACTGCTACTCTTGATGCCCTAAGCATTAATGGTACAAGCATTTTATTTTAATTTCTCGTTCAATTTTAGGTCACGAAAGAGGACTTCGCAACATTCGACTATATCCTGTGTATGGACGAAAGCAATCTGAGGTAATCACTCTTGAGATGGCTTCTGTGCCTGCTCAGCCCAGCAGGCTGTGTGCTGGCCAGTATGGTGGTGATGGCTCCAGTGTGCAGAACTATCTAGCGGGCGGCGAGTTCAGAGAATAATCCAGAGTGGTCTCGTGGCTCTGCTTACAAAGCAACCCGCTTTCCAGAGGGAAAGCAGTAGCCCGACCAGAGGCTGTGGTGGGACTGTGATCTGAACTAGGAGCTGCATGGGTTTGTACAAATGATCCTACTGCTGTCGTGATTCCTGAACTTGGGGTGTTTGGTTATATCTCAGCCTGTTCCTCCATGAACACTGCCCCCAGCCCACATGAGGCTGCAAGACAGGAGGCTGATAGGAGGCTGCTTATTGCAGTTAAGTTTGTGAAAAACTGGTAAACTGAGTGTCATATGACAGTGAGTGACCAGCCGGGTCACATCATCAGTAGGTGCATGTATTACCAGGGAGGAGACAGTACTAATGAGCGTAAGTGACCCCACAGGTTCACAGTGTAGGTGAGTGTGGGAGGCCCAAGTCCAAGCACCTCACTCTGGGCCTGCACCTCCTGCCCACTCTCCCTGCCCGGGCCCCACCCTTGGGCTTCACTGGCTTCCAGACTTGATTAGCTGCCCCTGCACTACCACTGGTGTTTGTGCACTGCTGAGACTTGATTCAGTGTAGCCGTGGCGTTTATTAACCTGCATCACTTATAATACTTAGATAGTCCATGTTGTCTTTAAGTATCTGTACTGTAAATTATTCATAGGAGTAAATAGACACAATTGTGATAGTTTCTCATATTTTTATTTATTTATTTTTTCACATATCTTTATTTTTGTTTTTTGGGTGGAACCGGGGATTGAACTCAGGCTCTTGCACTTGCCAGGCAAGTGCCTATTCTACTGAGCTATCTCCCTGGCTCCTTTCACATATTTTTAATTGAGGCCTGTCATTAAATTCATTCTTTTTTTGTTTCATTTTTCTTGTGCTCGTTCTCGCTTGTACTGGAGCATGTAGGTATAACTGTCTGGTTGTGGACTTGACACCCTGTCTAGCACCAAGGGGGCAGTGCTTCCCTGTGCGCTGACTGGGCTGGGTCTCCCTGGCCTCTGCACACCTGTGCTCTGCCGGAAGCTCCTCCCTGCTGCTGAAGCCCAGGTTCTGCTGCCTGCATCCTGGGCTGACTACCCTGGGCTGGGTGGGCCCCTGCCTTTTCCCATGCTGGGACCTTGTGCCCAGGTGCCCTTGGCTGTGCCTCTGGTTCCTGGCAGACACGTCATGGGCTGGTAGGATCCTCAGAAACTGGAAGTTGGTCCAAGTGGGCCTTTTTTTGTCTTTTCTGTATTTTAGGGAAGGGTCTACAAGGTGTTCAGGGTCTCACTATTAGATCGGACTTGTAGTGATTCTCCTGTTTACAGCCTCCCAAAAGCTGGGATTACAGGCGCACCCCACCACGCCCAGTCTCAGTCACCTCTCAACTCACCCGGGGGTGGGACCTGCATGGCAGACCTGGGGATCAAACCCCAGGTTCCCCAGGTGCTTTAATCCGCTGAGCTATGAAGCCAGGCCCAAGTGAGTGTTTGCCTTTGATAGCAGTGTGATAGGGAGCTGAGCTTTCAGCATGGGCAGAGAAGTGAGGAATAAGAGAAGCTTAGTAGTGGCATTGCCACCGTAAATGCGTCGTCACGCGGAGGCTAGGGGAGACCGTGGCCCTTTACCTCAATCAGGGCTTAGTTCATTTGGCTCTCGGAGTTCTTGTCACCTTATTTGTCTTTGAAGCAGGATCTTCTTGATAGGTTATCTACGAGTGTGCTTCGAAGCAAAAGTCCTAATTACCATCTGACTAAATGTCGCATGTTTTGTATACAGTCAGTGACTGTGTTGCTGCTGCTTACGCTCTTGCTGAGTCAGAGCAGAGCCGTGGCACGTGGCCACATGAAGGGTCCTGCGGCTCTGCAGAGTCTTCTTTCATTTTGAATCAGGTCGCTTTCATTGGATCTTGATATGGATGTTTCATAAACCCCTAGCAGATGTCCCTGTTTAACTTGAAACTGTAGACCAGAAAACTAAGTTCATATTTCGATTTTTCAGAGATTTGAATAGAAAAAGTAATCAAGTTAAAAACTGCAAAGCTAAAATTGAACTGCTTGGGAGCTATGATCCACAGAAACAGCTCATCATTGAAGATCCCTATTATGTAAGTACAGCCCACAGGGGGGCCAGTGGAGAGGCCAGCAGGTGTGTATCTGACATATTAAATGACAGGTGAAGGTCTCTTAGCTTTCTTTCTCCTGTCCTTCCAGGGGAACGAGTCTGACTTCGAGCTGGTGTATCAGCAGTGCCTCCGGTGTTGCAGAGCCTTCCTGGAGAAGGCCTGCTAGGGCTGGCCCCGCTGTGGCTTGCATTCATCCATCCCAGCTCTGCCCTTGCCTGTGCTCAAGCCCCAGTCCCCAACTGTTTCTCTACCTGACTTTACTGTTTCCTTTTTAAAAAATAATTGTAGGTGCAGATCTGCTGTATTTGCAGAAGAATAAATAAATATGCTTGATTTGGTATTAAAGAGTATAATAAATATTCTTAGACTAGTTGAACATCCCACTTCATCCTGTTTACAGAGCAGTGAAACACGCACATACAGAATAGCAACATAGAGCACAGTGGAGCAAGAATGACCCAAGGCACATGTCAGCCTCGTAGCCCAGGAGGACCTGGACAGTTTGTGCTACCTCAAGGGAGGGTATGGACGCTGCCCTCTGCTCTGCTGTGACCTCTCCTCCCGGGCCCCACCCGCGTCACAGCAGCCCATCCGCAGCAGCTCTTCACCGACATCAGCAGTGCTTTAGCTCATGCACATTCATGATGCACAGTGTATGCGTGTGATCAGAAAATGCAGTCAGTGGCCCTGGAGAGGAAGGCACCATGAACTCTTCGCAGAAGCTACCCTCTTGCTCTGCACATGTTTGTCCCATTGGTCCTGTCACTTCTGCAGCTCTGAAGTCATCTTTCCTGCATATCTGTAGTCGGGCTGTCCTGGCGGCCTTGATATCCTGAATCAATGGAAATTTTTTCCTTTCACAGTCATTTTGAGTTTGGGGTGAACCACAGATCACAGGGTGCCAGGCTGGGTGTGTAAGGTAGATAAGTACACACTCCTGGCTCTAGGAGCTGCCTTTACACTGGATGACACTCAGTGGCAGCATCACTGTAGCTTTGATCACACTTTGTAAGGACATGAAAGAGGATTTGCAGAACTGCTTCAGAAAGGGGCAGGACTTTGGGAGAAGAGCGTTTGAAGCTATAGAGAGTATTTTTAAGGGGATTCGTGGGAGTATGTCTTACTGTAATTTTTTCTTTAAACATTCACTGTATTTTGATCATACCTCCTTCATTTAAGATACAAAAGGTATTAGTAGAATTGTTGGTTTAATACCTGTTGGTATTGTCCAGTTTATTTAATGAGATCTGCTTATTTGCTCCCATTTATTTTATTTTTTATTTTTATTTTTTGGCGGAGCTGGGGATTGAACTCAGATCCTTGCGTTTGCCAGTCAAGCGCTTATCCTACTGAGCCATCTCCCCAGCCCCTTTGCTCCCATTTAAACAACACTTTCCTCTAAACTTTAATTGTGTTCAAAGAGAATATTTGTAAAAAGGTAGCTTACGAGCAGTTGAGGGGTGTAGCAGTTTTACACACTCATGTAATGTTTATCAAATCCAAATTGGCTTAGGTATGAACAAGTAAGATAAAAAGTTGTAAAGTCTATTACATTTGTATCCTTAAATATTGATTTGTTAGTAGGAAAGTTATAGGTGATTTCATTCTCAAATTCAAATGGATATCAGAAAAAGTGACTTTCAAAGGAAACTGGGATGTTACAAAACTACAGCTGATACAAATCTTACATCTTCCTCGTTTCTTGTTGTCAAATAAAGAAGCATGTGAGAACATTGCCTTTTGCCCCTTTCAAATAGTTTGTGGGGTTATGTTTCCCTATTTACTCTCAGTATTAAAAAACGGTGAAAATCAGCCCAGGCCTGCCCCACGCAAGTCCTCCGTTTAGCGCAGTGACATCTAGTCCCTAGGGGACTTTTACTCAAAAAACAAACAAACCTGCCTTCATGCGAAGACTGAGTGGCTCATTACCCAACGGAACTGAAAAGCTGAGAGTAACGAGGATGTGCACCTCCCTGGCCAGGTCCCTGTCCCCTGGAGGAGGGCAGAGGCGAGTGACCCTTGATACCCAGGGGACACGGCCGCTTCTGCAGTGTTCTTCCTCAGAACACCCCAGGTGTTCTCAGGAAGACCACTCGGCTCCTGGGGGTGTTACTGGAACTCAGAAATCTTGGGAGGTTGGACTGTGGGTGGGGCAGTGATATCTCTGCAGCTGAAGGATTGGGAAGAAAAGCTCCAGTGATTGACCACGGTTAGGGATCAGGATGGATGAGAGAACCTCTGCCTTCACCTCTGGCTTCATCATTCAGTAGTTACTGCAGAGCTCAAGGCCAAGAAATCATTTACTCTTATGTTCAGAACTAAAGTTCTCTAGCCTTCTCTGATGTTCCTGTATATATCTTAAGTCCAGACCTTCCTGTAGCCCTTGCTCACTAGATGAACAGAATCCACTGCTTGGCTGGCTTCCCCTTCCTTTCGGTTAGGTCCTGTTGGATGTGATGAAAATATATTCACCCATATATATCTTGGACTCCTTAGGAGTCTTGAGTTTCCTCTTGGTTTGTTTTTTCATAATGTGGGAAATAGCAGATTCCACCTTTTAGGAATATTTACTACCGAATTAGACCAACTTATTTCAAGAGATTTTGTCATTAAAACAGGAACTTCTACTTTAAGACACACTAATTGTCGCTTACAGAGATTCTTATTAGCCTTGGAGTTTCATTTGCTTTTGTCTTAAATTCTTTGACACGTTGCCAGTGTGACAGTGTTGGTGGATGTGTATGTAAATCATGAATTCCCAACAATGAGCTTGTTGGAGAGGCAGAGTCACTCTGAAAACCATTAATTATAACAAACACTTCATTTATTATTTGTACTTATTTACAGTATTTACATATTACACAAGAGCTGAATGCTATTTTACATTTATTATACAAAGAACAAATGGGATTGCTTGGGTATATTCACTGATTGTATTCTACTGTCTCCAAAATATGACTAAATTTTCTTTTAAAATTTTCATGCAGTTCCACATAATACCCTGGGTGCTTAATTGTAAAAGTAATACAAAATATCAAATCATATCATATACTATATGAAAATATAGTTTTAAGATTCTGCCTGTGCTTCTAAAGAAATATTTTGTGATTTCACCTAATCAGGAAAATGAAGTACTCTTACAGCACTATGCATCAAGTGTGTTGTGTTCTCAGTTTTTTTAAAATAAAGGATGGCAAGTATCACATCAGGTATGCTCATTAAATGAATATCTGCAAACAGTATCAACAACATACAAATTCAAAGGAAGTTTGGAGGAGTCTGTCTGCAAAAATAAATCTCTGTCCCCAGGGAATGGGTGTGAAGAGAGTCCTGTCTCCCGGTGGTCCAAGGCACTTCTCAGGGTTCCTGGTGTGGTGCTCCTTCACAGCTGAAAGCAAATGCACGTGTTACAGCGCGGCACACACTGGGGGATCCATCCTACAGAACTGCGCCAGCTAAGTAGCATTTTGCGTCGATAGGTGAGGAATCTCAAACACATGTTTCTCTGTGTTGCAGGAAGTTGAGTCTAGTCGATTTGGGAAGATAGCAATTCTGCAGCTAGTACATGCTAGCTTTGCCAAGGCATGCAGACCACTTGCTCATGTACTGATGCACGTGGAAGTGTGGCTCAAGGCAGTGCTCAGTCCTGTGTGTGTGGTCAGTGTCCTCAGGCATGTGGGGCAGTCCTGGGGAGCAGCAGGCTGGCCTCTCACCTCCCTGTGCACAGGGGTCAGCCAAGCTCATAATTTATTTAATCAGAATTAGTCTCTACTCCACATCTGAATACCCTTTGTTTGCTGACTTCAAGGTTACTAAGCTGTACCTAGCAAGCTACTCACATACTCATACTCAGAACTGTACTTTATTGAAAATACCTTGGAGCTCAGGATTGCATTTAATTGACCTGGGAATGAGCTATTGGGGAACATTTGCCACCTTTTCTGTGGTCTGAGGTCAAGGTCAGACATGCAGTATGCACGGATTTGTTCCTTGCCCTTGGCTTTAAAGGCCTCTGGGCTGGAGCTTCAGAAGAACTGGAGCCTATCAGCTGGAGTCGAAACAGGGTACTAGGCGCAACAGGGCAAGGGCATGGCCCCTTGCTGGCCACCAGGACTTGTGTCCAGTGTTACCCAGCACACTGTCCCTGGGTGGATGTGCTGTCTGCTCCTGAAGGACTCACTGATGTCCTGAGCCAACCCACAAGGTGCAGAAATACCTGGCCCGTGTCTGCCCTAGTCACACACTAGCTAACGGTTTAGTTTGCCTTTGTGGTTTAAGGCCTTTAAAATTGCAAGAAATTTTTAAAACAAGAGTTATCAAATTTTCATTAACAGGAATATCAGTTTTCATCTTCACCCATTTCTTGTCCAAAATGAACTCTTGTGTCGGCTGTGACTGGCAAGTGAACAGTTGTGTTGGCTGTGACTGGCAAGCAGGTGGCCTTTGAGTGTGGGAGCCGTGAGCACACTGCTGTCTTCTGTCAGATGGGACTGACAGTTTGAGGTACACAAGAGCTGTGCTGGCCACATCTACCTGGGCTCCTTTCTTTTGCCACTTTCCTCTGAGTAACCTGTGTTGCAGTACGGAACTGAACCCCTGAGTGTCCCCAACGCAGACTTGCCTGCGTGAAGAGGTAGCTTATAGGCAGGTGTCAGGGCCTCTACCTTCCCTGGTTACGAGGAGATGGAGACTTTCCCAAGGTGCATCTGGGCAGTGTCCGGGATCGCGGCAGCCCATCTCTAAACATGTGGGTAAGTAACAACACTACCTCCCTGATCCCACTGCCTTGGGACACTCCCAAGTACACACACCGGCTCTAGGCTCAAAGGGAAAGTCAAGTTCACATCACAAGCAGTTCATACAGAAGCACTGCAGAGTCAGCATGAGAAGGGAGCTGGAGCGTATGCCTGTCTCTGACTGGTGTTAAAATCCCTTTGCTTCCTCTAGGTAATACAGCTGGAGAGCCTGTGTAACCCTGCACTGCCCCTGGTGTCTCAGCCCTACCCCCATCTTCAATAGCGTTTGCTCCTGACAGGAAAGACCACAGTGCCCAGGGTGGCAGCACCTGCAAGGCCTGCCAGACAGAGTCCAGGGCTGCCACCTCTATCTCCAAGCACTGAGTGCATCTGGGTAGAAAAGCACCACTCCCGTGTATTCTTTACGAGATGGAGGAGAGCTGCCTCTAGGGAAGGATAACACCCCTTTTATTAATGATTTCTGGACAGCTGGACATTTTCTGGGAACAGCCATTTCTGGACAGAAAGCCAGTCTTAGTTGTGGTGATGTGCCCTCCTCTGGCAGGCCTGGCGCACCCAAGACATCCAGGAAGCAGGAATGGGTGGAATTGCAGCTTTGCCAGGCTGTCTGAAGTCTGCTCAGTCCAGGGCAGGCTGGGTCATAAAGCCAGACTCCAGCCATCCCCAGCTGCCTGCTACCTGTCATCGCTCCAGGGGCCAACACAAAATCACCATCTCTGGGTAATGCGTTTACTGTTGTGCAGCTAAAGGCTGTGAGGAGACACAGAAACATTCGCAGAGGATAGCTGTTCTACTTAAGCTTATGGATATAGCGAGAAGACTCCAAACCTTTACCAGACACCTTATAAGACGTACAAGAGCATGCTTAGGCACATACAGACAGTCCCTGACCTTTTACCTATTCGGTAAAGCTGGTGCTTCTAACTCCATTTTAGTATTCTCAGGGCTGATGCACAGTTCCTGTGTTGCCCAGCAGCAGCAGTGAGCCGTGTTCTCTAGGGTAGGGTAGTAAATGCATGCTGGCTGACCTGGGTCTGTTGCCATGTGGCCATCAAGAAGCACTGTGCTCACTTAGGTGTCAGGCTGAGGAATTGAGGCATGATTTTAAGAGTGGTCCTAGGTCAGGTGCTCTGGACTGAGATCAGCGGGCTCTAGAGCTGTGGATAACGCTGGCTGGATCTGCGATCTCCCAGCAGGGGGCGCCTTCTTTCAGGGCCAGCGTTTTCAGGTATTCTGAGTAGTGTGAGGCTGACTCGGGGAGGCTACCTAAGCCAGAGAACGAGTGTCTCTAGACTCCTGTGAGCGCTTCATATCCCACTTGGGTTCTGACCTTGCTGTGTGGCCCACCCAGCTGCGGGGCCTTACCTCACCCCTCCATGCACATGGGACTGACGGCCAGCCGGGTAAGCAGCCTTGCACATCTTTTATAGTCTGCAGAGAAAATAAACCACAGACTCTTGTCAGATACATGAATAACACTAAAATAGACAGGGTGTTTTTTTTTTTTAAGCTTATCAACTGCTCTCACCATTTATTTCTAAATATTCTGAACTTCCTAGAAGCAGTACAGAGTCTGTCATCTGAAATCAAGGGCTCTTAAGTGGTTGGTTCAGCACTACATGATTCTTTAGGGCTTTAGCATCCCAAACAAAAGTTAGGTAACTTGTGGATGCTGTGGAGAGGCACTTGCAGCTGTTCTCTGCCGTGTGGCTCTCAGGCTCTTGGAATTAGCTCTAGTGTCTCCTCTGAGGAGACAGTGTACTTCCACACCGTGTGTAATTTAACTTGACCTGCAGGTCCCCTGCAGCCTGAGTCACCACCTGAAGTGACAGTGATACCAAGACTTCTGCATTAACATTCTAAAGTGCATAGGTCAAAACTAGCCAAAAGGCCTGGATTGGACAAGATGATGGAAAAGTTAATTTCTTCTTCTTTTTTTTAATCTTTTTTGTTGGTTCTGGGGATGGAATTAAGCTAGTTTTTGAGTGCAGACTGTTGTTCCCTGACACTATCAATGTTTCCTATTTCACTCTTGTGCTGGGAGCTGCCTCAGAGAAGACACATGGGAGGGTTTCATGGCCACAGCCTTACGGGATGTCCTCAGGACCGAGTTCTGTGCAAAGCTGTGCTTGTTTATTGCAGTACAAAATCCTACTTTAGGGAAGCATTCGTGCTCTCCTGAGATTCTGAATGAAGGACTAAACTGACAGTAACAACTCCATGCAGTGTTAGACAGGAAGTTAACTTTACTCCTAAGAGACTGCCTTCTGGATATCCAAAGCACATATCACTGGGTTCAAAGGGGGAAGATGCAGACACTGACAGCTGGTTCCTGGATTCCTGCTCTGTGGTCCTCCCACACGTATTGATACTGTACCATAGGTGCAGTGGGCTGTGAGCTCAGCAAGCCGTAACTGCTCCCATTTGCAACATATGGGGACCCTGGTTCTTCCCCCACCACACTCAGTCCACAGGTCTGTAGTGGTGCCCCTCAGGCCATACTGTGCATGTGGATACCTGCATCTTGCCAAAAGCCACATCTTATTCCTCAAATCTTGGAAGGACCAAGTTCTACACTCTGCCATGCTTCTGAGGCTCCAAGAACCCTCAGTTCTAGCATTACAGGGTACTGGGGATTTTTCTTTTGTGAGCCTGAAGCAGCCAGGAAGTGGTCAACTTCAACTCTCCAGCTCATTATGGGTCAAGGATCGGAGGAAGCAACCATGCATCCCAACACAGGCATCTGCTAGCCTTCCACTTCTGGGTCCTAGCATGAACTGGGACCAGTTTTGGTATTTAGCAGTCAATTACTCTGAGAAAAATAAGGTAGCAAAAGTGTGGCACAGCACAGTGTCCTGAAAAGGGCTTCACAGAGAGCTGCACCCTCAGCACAGGAGCAATTTGAACTCCCTCCTCACCTGTCCATGAGAGGTTAGGTGCACAAGCAGAGGTCACTTTCACATTTAGAATCTGCTCCTGTGGTATTATTGTAAGATATTTAATAAAAACGCATACATATTTAAACTGTAGAAAGGTTCTCTGCTTACAGGAGGCAGGTTAGTAATTCCCAAACAAAGAAAGGGGAAGGAAGCTGTTCACCACTACACATGGCATGTGTAAAGGGTAGGAGGAAATCAAACTGCAGGGAGTGCATGCTTGCCTGCCACCGTGGCCTGGAAAGTGCTGGGGAGACCCGCAAGGTGGGGTCCTGATTGTGCCAGGCAAAGTGCCTGCCACAGAAGATGCAGCTTTGTGAGCAGTGGCTCCTATTGCTCAGAGCACCTGCTATGTGAACCAAGAAAGAGCCTGGGCTTCATGCAGAGTGGCCTGCGCCATTCTAGTCTGTGACTCGGCCATAAACTCAGGTGGTCTCTGAAAGCAGCGAGTGGATTCCTGGTGTGTCTGCATGGCTTTTCGCCTATATGCCTTAAATGGAGTGATGGTTTTATGAAGCACAGAAGGAGCCATATTTTGGGGACATAAAATATGTTTTGTTATGGATAAACAGCGGGCAGCTCATTGCAGAGAAAGAAAAGCCACCATGAGAGAGCCAGGCTGAGGATGAATAGAAAAGGATTCCGAAGTAGCAAATAAAATTCCCGGGTGATGAGTTATTATTGCTGGTGGAGAAGCAAAACCGCTGGCAAGCGTGGTAGAGAGGGTCAAAAAGTCTGACCACAAAGTTGGAGGCCAGCAGGAAGGCTCTCTGGCAGCTCTCTCCTAACCTGTGTGATCCTCTCAGTAAAACAGCAAGGCGGGCACCCTGCCAGAATTCATAAACAAAATGAGAGAGTGTGTGCCGAGGAGTCCAGCCCATTCCTAGAGTTAATTCCAAGGAGTGACCATTAGTTCCAGAGAGTCGGGTGGCACTAGCTTACATGGGGCCCATTCCCCCACCCCCACTCTCTGAACCTAGTTATCTTGCCAGGTCTGAGCATCCCGGGCCAGCTCCCTGGTCTTACCCTGGAGGTGTGTGTGTGGTTTGAGCAGGGCCTGACTTACATGCCGGGATGGTGCAGTCCCTGGTGTTGTGGTACAGCCTGTGGAAGTGTTTGCTGCACTTGGGGCTAAAGTAGAGAGGACCTGGAACACAGGAAGAGGAAAATCATGAAGACTCCAGCTGACAGCAGGAAAGGGAGAGGGGCAAGGGACATTCATTCACCTGTGAGATGCTTCAGAAACTTGTCCTTCATCCTGAGATCTCGTGGGACGATTTCTGTGTGAGGGGGAGAGTTGGTTACAGCGCATGAAAGAAGCACTTTTAAGGCTCAATCTTGAATGAGTTTTCAGGACTGAGTGAGTACTGAGCACTCATTCCCCATATCTCAGTGTAAACAGAATGGAAGCACCCTGCAGACGCCCTGGAAATCCTCACATCAGGGATGGCTTTTCTCCCAAGAGGACAGGCTGCTCCTAAAACTCTAAAGATTTTCTGTCTGTCCTCCACAGTGAAGGGTGACATAAAGCCCAGAAGGCCTGGGGTGAAGAAAGATGCTCCCCACCACCATTGGTCCCTTTTAGATATTCATTTCAAGGAGCTTGGTATTCAAATCCCATAGCATTTCAAAGTTCTAGAAAGAAAATCTGATCCTTGAAACAAAAATAAATTATGTTACAGAACATGATGTGTTGCAGGCAAATATTTAGAAAAAAGAATAAATGTCTTTAAAAGCACTGGTTAGTCACGGTGATGTGCTAGAGTGGAAACAGGCAGCAAGCTGGGTTGTGAGCTGGGTACAGGATTCCTCGGAACAGGGTCCTCTAAGCCAACCTCTCTCACCCCTGCCCCTCCAGTCACCTGGTCCCCAGAGAGTTAGCTGGCACCTTTCTGGTTCTGGCCTTGCTCTTTTACTGTCTTCTGTGGTCATTTTCATCCCTCCACATGGGCTCCTTCTCTACAAGCATAGGTGATGTGGGCCTTTATCTCCCCCAAGTGCTGTCACTCTCCCCACATCTGGAAGAGACACAGGCCTCAGACTGTCCCATGTGCTGGGTGGAGATGTGTTCCTAATGGCGATCTTCACTCCAGTTAGTCCACATCAACTTGACCACGTCATTTTTGACCCAATTATGTCATGAAAGCATTAAAAGCTCGAACGCTTTCCTAGGAAATCCCCCACGGGGCAGCCACTCTGGGAAGGGCTTGACTGCATGAAAGCAGGACAGTCCCTCTGCAGCTGGAAGCACTATCCTGACAGGACTGCCAGCTCCACAGTCAGGGGGCCAACTCTGTGCAGGAATCCCGGGCCGGTGCTGGCGCAGAAGCACACTGAGGGTCTGGTACCTGACAGCACTAGGGCTTACACTCCTGTTTCTGCTGGTTTCTTTTTTCTTTGAGAAAACAACAACAAAACCTTTCTGTTTTTAATTAATCAAAACGGATTTCTCTTTTGAAACCTATTTCTTAAAAAAAAAAAAAAATTCTATTTCTAAGCAAATACCAATTCAGTAGGACTTCAGACACAGAAGGCAGGCAGTAGGGGGCACCATGGCCCGCACCACCTCAGCCCTTTCTGTCCCTTGGTGCACACAACCTGCTTAGGGCTTATCCACTGTGTCCTTCGGGGTCTCTGGGACCCTCAGCCAGCTCTTCCTCAGTCTACACAGTCTGCCTGGCACACTTACGTACTCTGCCCTTTGGATTCCACACTGCCAGAACCCTCAACCTCGTCTGTCCCTTGTTTCACACAGCCTGCTTGGGGCTCTGACACACTCTGTACAACTTGGGGTGCACAGTCCCTGGACGCTCCCTTCCCCTATGTCCTTCAGCTCATACTGCCTGGCTGGACCCTCATTCTCTACCCTTCAGGGTGCACACTACCTGGACCCTTTTCTGCCTCTGGGTCCTCACCGCCCACTGGGACACTCACCCACTCTCTGCTCCACCGGGTCCGCCCCGTAGTCCGCTGCCTCCCTGCGGCCCAGGGCGAGGTCCGGCTGGCCAAGCAGCTGCAGCCGCTTGGCCTCGGCCGGGTGCGACTTGCGCAGCTCTTGGGCCAGCTCCGCCAGCAGCAGCCGCAACAGCGCGCTTCGATCCGCTGAGCCCCGGGGTTGCGCGCGTCCCCGCCCCGGTCCCGCCGTACCCAGCACCAGCAGCAGCCCGAGGAGCAGGGGCCGCCCGGGCGCGCGCATGGCCCAGCCGCGGGGGACAGAGGATGCGTGGGTCCCCAGGTCCCCTGGGCCACGAGGCCACGCCACGCAACTTTCTCCTCTGCCCTGGCTTTGGGCCTGGGCTCGAGCTGCCACCTGCACCTGCAGGACTCAGCGCCGTCGGCCCAGCTGGATCCGTGCGTCCTGGTCAGGGTGCGCCTGGCTTTGAGTGCACTGAGTCTGAGCGCTCTGGCCCCTTTGCGCCGGGATCGGCGTATGCCCGCGTCCGAGTGAGCCCTGGTTCTAGTGTGCCCAGGTTCGAGTGCTCCGAGATCCGTGTGCGCTCGGGTCCAAATGCGCACTTGTCTGTGTACCCGGGTCCCAGTGTGCCCTGGTCCGAGTGCGCCTATGTCCGATGGCACCCAGCTCCGCGCGCAGGGACCGGAGTGCGCCCTGGTCGGTGTGTGCCGGGGTACGTTTCAGTCCGGTCGGTAGGTCCCTCGCCGAGCGCAGCAGGGTCGCGGGACGCGGGTGGCGCTGCTCCAAGTGGACCGCGGGCACCTGGTGCCGGCGTGATCCCGGCCGGCCGCTTCTTATGCCCGCGGCCGCCGACGCAGGCGGGTCTCTTGGCGCAGCGGCTTTAATCAACGCACTCCAGCGCTCAGCCGACCGATGCTCGTCAGACCCCCCGGCCCGCGCCCCGGGGGCCCCTCCTCCGCCGCCCCGCCCGTCTCCCCGCCCCTTCCTCCCCGCCCCCGCCCCATCCCCTCTCCCCGTCAGGTTCCTGGGTTCCTGTCACTTGTGACAGGATGAGAAGAGACGCCTTTGCCGGGAACTCGGATCTGTTTTGTCTAAATGTAGATCTCGGGCTTTTAAAGAGGAGTCGCCTGACTGCCTGGCATTTCATAAGTGGATTCGAGACACTCCGTGTCGGGGGACCTGCAGGCGTGGCACCCGTCTACAGCGCCCGAGCCCTGGCCGGGCCAAAGGAGGCGACTCTCGGAGACTCGACGCCTGCCCTCTGACTCCAGGGCTGCGTACCCTGGATGTGTCCCGGCACCTGCAAGAGGGTTCAACAGTTTACTTCCTTAAAAGCTTGTTCTTGTAAAATGTGTTATCAGACGATTGCTCCCTTTCCCGTTTTATGGGCGCTTTCTGGGCAGGAGCTGGACGTCTTCCAAGTGATACGGTTTGGAAAGGTGTTGTGAGCCCCGGATCGGAAAGAACGAGCGCGGGCCGGGAAGGAGCCTCCTGGGGCAGGTGTGCACCACTGCCGCCCAATCCCAAGGACAGGGACAGCTAGACCCCTGTCCCTGTGTCTGTCATTCTGTCCGTCCTTGTATCCATCTGTCTCCCAGTCTCGGCCCCCCTCCTTGCACTCGGTCGGTTTCCCGGGAAGGGAAGGTGCTAGCACCGCGGGGTGGGGTAGAGATCGAGACCGCGAAAGTGATCCTTGATTGTGCGCCTGTGTCTCTGCGTTCTTCCAAAGCAAAGGGTTTGGTTTCCAAGGGAGAGGTTTTGTTTTATTTTAGCTTTTTGTGTGTGTTTGCTTGTTCTTTTTTTTTTTTTTAATTTTTTTCCTGCATGCAACATGAATGCACCGTTAATATTCCGATGAATGTACTCAGGAAAAAGTTAAGTTCCTTGTCACAAAAATCTTAGATGGATAAACCGGGAGGTTATACTTACTTCCCTCTGAGGGGAGACCAGTTCCTCTCGCAAGAGCGACGCCTGCTGTCCATTTTCTCAGTGGCTGCATGGCTGGCTTAACACTCAACCCCCACTGTTAGGTTTCTTTTAAAATTATTTTTAAATGTCCCCCCCCCAGTCACATATAATTTTAGGCTTACTTACACTCTCTTGTTTGAAAATACCATTTATTTCACAGAATCAAAAGCTGGAAAGTTCTGGGGAAAAAAAACCCCACATTTTGGCTCTCACACACAAATTCTACCAACCATGGAAGAGCAATAGATTTCTCTTTTGTCTTGCAGCTTTGAGGTTGAGGTTCTTGACTGACTCTTTTCCACCATCAACTACATGTGCAGCCCTCACTCACTGGAAGCTCACAAGCAGGGACAGTGGGCACAAGCAGATGTTGCACTCACATGGCTTCAGTAACTATGGCAGCTAAGGACAAGATGTGTCACGTGTTCATTCATTCATGTGTGAGAAGTCCTGCACTGAAATTACTCTAAGTGCCCTCATCTTATATAGACAACTTTTACAGATGTTTAAAAAGTTCATTGAGAGAGTGTGTTGGTTTACGGGTCTCCACTGAACTTCGCAATATGCAGTATCGTCCAACTGAGCTGCACTGCGTCCTCCAGTCACCAGACCTGTGTACTGTCTTTGTGACCAGCACACCCGATCAGTGTGTTCTCTGGCCATGGGACTAACCAAAGGGAAGCAGAACATGTCACAGAGTCACCGAAGTTCTACTGAAAGATCAAGAGTCTCTCCATGTCTTTTGGGGCACTGTCCGTGCTAGAAAACTATATAATTCTATGGTTCTTACTGGAAAAAAGCCCCAAAACAACAAAATGCACTTTGTCACACAAAAAAGCTGAAGCTAATGCACTCGAAGCATCACAGTGAGCTCTGTCCTTTAATTTCAGGCAAAAAGAGGTGTTATAAGCATATTAAATAACATACTTTCCTGTTAGTAATTGTACAACTGTCTACTGTCAAGGGTCTAATAGGCCAAAAGGGTAACAGAGAAAAATAAGATTAGACTATATTCTAGAATTCCTGGTGAAAAATTATTTCCTCTGCGATGTTTGAGCTGTTTTCCTTGTTGAGAAAATTATGATGGATCATAGAAAGAAAAAAACCAGGCAGGAAAAAGTGTACTTAATTTACTGAATGCCCATGTAATGAGATGGGATTATATTTTGAGGTTATTATAAATGAAGTTATAAATAAAGTTCCTACATTTCAACTGCAGTCATTACTCTCTTGTCCTTGAGAGGCAGATATTTATTGTTAGAAGAATATTAACTGCCTTCAAAAACTTGTACAGCATTATAGAAGAGTCCACCAAACACACTTCAGGCAAAGTATAGTATAATGACCCTTTAACAGATGGTGTTACCCTTCTGTGAGGAACCCTAGAGAATGTTGTATATCTCAGAAAACCCACTACTCTGCCATCCCTTACAGAAGAAATTGAACATGCATGTGCAGCCATCTGAATGACCAAGGTTACCCAAGCAGCAGTTCATCGTACTAACAAATGGAAGCTAACAGTCACCACAGGAGCGCCTCTTGTATCTGTAGAGGCCAAAGGTAACTTGTAGTAATCTCATAATGTCTCAATAAATGTAGTATTAAAATATTTATGCAACTTTTTCTTTTCCTCAAGAGTATATACGCTTTGGAGGCATACTCTGTTTTTAGTTATCATATTTTAAAATGAATTGTTGTGTTTGTGTGACCATTATGTTAATCATTTAACAATCTAACAGCTCTTATTAGAAAGAAAAACAATCACCTTTCATGCAAGATAACATGTGCTGTAATGAAATACTGCTTAATGTTTAACTTTTACCAGTTCTGTTGTTTTTATACCAGTATGCTAGTAGTATGCTAAAAATGTGCTAAAAACTCTGCAATGATTTTAGGAAGACAAGACCGCTCACAGGACCAACTTCCTAATACATACCAGGTGTGATCAAAAGATGCTGCGACCATTTAAATTTTTAAAAATTATAGTAAAAGACACATTGCTTCAAATAGCCCTCAAAATTGTCCCTCTCCCTTTGACACACTTGTCCCATCATCCTTGCCACTTTCTGAAACAGCTTTGTAAATCTTCTTTCCTGAGTATCTTCAGCTGAGCTATCCTGAATCCCTTGATGTCCTGAGCCAGTTCAAAACATTTTCCTTTCATGGTCATTTTGGGTTAGGGGAAGAGCCAGGAGGAACACAGTGCCCGATCCAGTGACTCGGGAGAAAGAAGACTCAGCACCTTGACACCTGTGCTATACACATGACTCCAGTGGCTTCTGGGTGCCTTTCTGTCTGGAATGGCTGGACATGAGGAGACAAACCCTTGGCACTCCAGGCAGCAAGCTCCCTAGGGCCCCTCCTCTTGAAAGATTCCACCATGGAAAGCCCTGGAATCTAATTTGCATGTCTGCGTCTCCAAGCTTCTGATGGACATGACCCAGTGACTGCTGTGATGCTTGCACACATCGCAGTCCTTCCCACTGTCTCAGTACACAGTCCTTGGCTTCTCTTTCTTGGTGCCAGCTCCCAAACCCTCCTTGGATGCACCTTTAAGTACATGCCTTTTCTCCATCAGCTGGAATTTTTCAAATCTTTCAACTGTGCTCCTCTTTGCTCCTGATTGTCCTGGTCAGTTTTGTGAAACCATTTGGTCATATCCAAGCCACAGCCTGAATCCTGTGCTGCTTCCTAATTTCTAGTCAAGAAGACCTACCAGGAATATTCCACCACCTTTAAGACTGACTGATGACCTGCAACATCTCAGGGCTCGAACGCAATGCTTCTGAGTCCTTAGCCAGGGTGGCCTAAGGTGATTTCCAGGCCAATTTTGATTTCCAGCTGAATCCTTATCAGCATAACCTTCAATGTCCACTTTCCCACCATCATTCTGGACTTCTGAGCCCCCAGGAACGAACAGCCTATGAAGCTCTACCTACAACATTATGGGATTTTTCTAGCCTGTTTCTCCAAACTTTCCTAAATTCTTTATGCTGTGAATTTCCAAAGGTTCCCCCCATACCACACACCCCAACCTTATCAGGTATAGTCACAGCAGCCACTCTACTTCTTGGTACTGATTTTCTAGGATTCCTCAATGTGGTAAAGTTGACAATGAAAATTAACCCCTGCAGATACTAGCTCTATGGATACCAGTGTTGCAGAAATATAAAGAGCCTTTGAAATGAGCCATCTGTCCTGAAGGCAGAGCATCATGAAGTGGAGACACACTGCATCATTAACCATACGTGATGATGCCCTCCCTGAGCAAACTGGGAAGACATGTAGGGGCAGTGACTTTTAAAAGGCCTGAACACAGGGTAGGTATGCACTGCCACGG